TGAAAGACATCTTCTGCCTCCATTTATCTGTTTACTACAGTCTGTTGAATTCCTTCTAATGTGTATTTTAGGACGTTTCAATTAGTGGAAAAAACTGCAGTGGGGAATATAACAAAAACAAAAAAATTGTAATCAACCAAAACTTTCACGACCCCCATGCAATACCTCTGCGGACCCCTTAGGGGTTGCGGACCCCCTGTTGAAGACTTTTTTTAAGGAAATAATTTGATTCCAAACATTTGATCAAAAAGGAGGTACACTTTTGAATATATATTCTGAAGAACGCCTTAATGCAACATGAAACACTCTTACTCGTACTCCTTTTTATAAAAATTAAAAATAAATCAACTAATTGTGGACCCTCACAAGCCTGGCTCATCCAACTCTTACTGTAGATGCCTGAAGATGCCACCAGTGAAATTAGGAAGGAAATAAATTTCCAGCCTCTATTTTTTCAGGAATGAGAAAGTTTTATCTGGAAAATGTTAATCTAGGGGCTGAAAGGCTGCTTTGAAGCCATTATTCCAAATTACAATAAAAAAGGTTGAATTACTGTCTGCAATACCTCCATAAAAAGCAAAGTAAAGTATAGATGTAAACATAAAAAAAAATATTTTCCATAATTCAGTAGCAACATTTTTAAGCTCTAAATCCTAAAAAATATGGCAACCAAGAACTTTTGATTGGCTCTATTCTCAATTCTAATCCACCTCCATGCTGTCTAATTGTCATAGATGTGGATGAAAGTTTTATTATTTGTTATCCAGCTATTGAGGATATTGGGAAGTCAATTTGTATTCAAAATTAAACTGCAACTACAACTTTTTCTTAAGATTTCCTCTCTACCAAAGAATGTTCTTGTAAGGATGGGGTTGAGGTTTGTGGACCCAAATGCAGAGGCAGTGAGGCAGAAGTGAGTTTCTTGTTGATTTAATGAAGGGTTAACAGAACACTGAGGCAGGAATCAAAAAAACAAACATGAAAACAAAGTCAAACAAACCAGAAACAAAGGAGACATCTGGGGGAAAACAATTAGGAGAAAGAGGACTCAGTGAGACGGAGTTGGAGGAAGTTAGACGAGGAACCAGCACTGAGGAACTGCACAAAAAGTGTATTTATGGGAGACAGAACAAAGAGAGGGCTAACGAGCAGATTGGGAGCAGGTGTGAACCAAGCAGACAGAAAAGGAGCTAGGGAAAAAGGAGAACACAAGAGGGCAGCAGAGGGCAACAAATAAAAACCGTAAAACTGAAAAATAACCAGAAAACACAACAAAATAAGAATTAAACCACTAAAACTAGAAAACAAAGCAAAGCAAAGTAAAACTGAATACTCAAAAGAAAACATAACAGAACAAGAACTGTGACAGTTCTGAGCAGAGGCGTAGCCGGAAAATTTTTATAAGGGTGGCCAGGCAATAACCAATTTACACTGAGGGGTGGCCGAAAGCAGGTAGGCACCAGAACCTCAGGGTCAAGCCAAAGGTAAGACAAACTATACTTTCCTACAGCCTTTGCTAACAAAAAGACGCATATATTTAAACATCTGTGCTTTCTAGATAACAGGTATAGTGGATAAAATACTTTCAGGTTTGAGTTCTGGGGCGAACATATTTTCCATTGTCATTACTTACCTACTTTAATCAATAATCATTCTGCATGAATTTTATATTTACAAGTACTAATGTCTACATTGTCTAGATTGATTATTTAATACGTTTTTTATTAAAATAGTTATTATCTATGATTTCACTGACGACTCCTAGATGAATGCAGAGACACATAATTTTCTCTTTACCCCATAAAACAGAAAATCTAGTTCTGAAAAGAGCATGAATTCTGTACTTATCATTTTTAATGTTAGTATTATTGATGTGCATAATTAACCACAGTGTTTTTGTTAAGTAATTATTAAAATATGAAAAAATAGTAAGAAATATATGAATAATTAAAATGTTTTGAATATTCCACTTGAGAGTATTACTGCTGCCACCATCTGTATTAGAGGGGGGGGGGGAAATGGTAGGGGTGATCCATGGCCAACCCTGGCCCCCCATCTAGTTCCTTCCCTGGTTCTGAGTTTTAATATCGGATTTAAAAAAAAAAAAGAAATCTGAGGACATTTATGATCTAGAAAAACAAAGTTCATTTTAATTTGTGTTAGGCATCTTTTCTTGGGGTGACAACATATTTTTAAATCTATATTTTCCCTGGAGCTTAGTTGAAATGGATGCGGCTTGATTCCACTCCACATTTTGCGTCCCTCTCTGCCTTGCCAAGCAGTCTGATCCCAGCACAGAGCGCTCCTCACAGCACATTTCCACTCCAACGCAGAGTCCAGAGGGAATCCTTTCGCTGGACCAAGTTGAGCCACCCTCCTGGGTTCATGTGGCACCTCCACAGTCCTTTCCTCTGCGCCACCTATTCTCAGCTGCGCTTCGATCCGCCACTCTGCTCCTGGAAATGTCTCGGTAGACATTCATACTAGTTGAGCTCCAAACATTATACATGAGCAGTCAATAAGTATACCTGCGGATCTGCTGCAGGAGGGGGGAGTTTGTTTTTGTTTTTATGCGGCCGGGGACCTTTGTCACTTAAGGATCTTTGCAGAAGTGAACAATGCTGAGACTTCAGAGCATCATTTGCACTTTTTCTGTGCTGTCAGTCGCAGCAAAATCAGATTTTTTAGCGCGGAACTGCAGCGAGGTGAGGGAGGCTTGTTCTGAGAAGGGCTTCATCTTCACACATGTTCCTCACCAGGAGATCCCAGGTAAGTCTGCAGCCTTTCTGACTGTTCAGTATCAATTAATAGTCATTGATTTCCAGTCTTTATAATTCATTTGGGTCCGTTTTGATTGACATGGAGTTCGTTTTAGAGACTTTGACTATTCATCCTACTGATCAGCAGCACATCAACCACCTGTCACTTAACGGTCCCCCAGTGAGGGGCCAGTAGGACTGCCTTAAGGGCTTTATCTAACAGGATATTGATTAGGACCCTTCATGTATCCCCAGCTTTCGCAAAAGGATGTAGCTATGGATCTGGCAGGTTTATTTATTAAAGTGAGGGAATTTGCTTCTAGTTATTGATATTAAGCCTTGCCAACAAGTAGGTGTGTGAGGTTTATATGTTCACTGATTGTTTAAGACCAGACTGTCCAGTTTTTGACTCAAAAAATAAACCAGGTGTAAAAGGTGGCTCTGTTGCCATTATGTTGTCCACTCGGTTTTTACAAGTAAATATGTGATACAAAAATAATAATTATGAATTAATATGAATTAATATGTATATATATATATATATATATATATATATATATA